GGGGACGCTCGGGGCGGGGCAGGTCCCGGCCGGGAAAGGAGAAGCCCCCCGGCTCCGCGGCGGTGGCCGGTGACGTCCCTGGGCCGGGCCATCCCCGCGCGAGCCATCAGCTCTCCCCGGCCGCGGTGGGACGGGGACAGGCGAGGGATGCTTCCACCTTTGAGCTGAAAAAAACCCGATACCCCTCAAAAAAGCACCGTTTTGGGGGTTGACACCTCATTTCCCAGCTCCGCTCGCTGCCGCCGGCTCCCCCTCCTCGGCTCTGCCGCGACGGGGTCTCCGCCTGCGATCTCCCCCCTCGTTACACCTGGAAACGAAGTTTTCCCGACCCCACCGCCCTCCCAGTCCACCCAGCTGCTTCTTCTTTTTGTTTTTTTTTTTTGCCTCCGCCGCTGATCTCTTCCCCCCGCTGGCGTTGCTTCCTCTTCGTCGCCATATAAAAGCCCAACGCCACCCGCTCGTCCCCGGGGGAGCGCGACCGCAGCCGGCGAGGACCCAGGTGAGCGGCTGGTGAGGTGCGCGGCGGGTGAGACTCTCTCCCTTTGCCTAAACCCCCCCTAATCTAGCGCCGTGGGGTGGAAGCCGGGCTTTAGGCGATCTCCATCCTTCTGCTGGTGGGATGGATTTTCCCCGCTGAGGGCATGCGGTGGGGTTGCGGCTCCTCTTTAGGTGTTGGGTGATGGTTGGAGACGCCATATCTCCTCCTTACTCCTCCTTCCCATGCTCCGGGTCGTTCAGCCAACCACCAGAAGACCCCAGACCTTCATCGTGCTTTCCTCCTCCTCCTCCTTCAGGGTTTTTTTTCCCCCTCCCGGTGATGCTTTAGGCAAAGAGAGGTTTCTTCCCCCCCCCCCCCCCCCCCCCCGCCCCCCCCTTGGGGTTTGACAGCCAAACCAAAACCACCCCCCGTAGCACCCACCCAGTAGGTGCTGGAGAAGCTGCCGGAGCTTCAGGTTCACCCCTGGCATTTCCTCATCCAACTTCTTGCGCCACGCAGCTGAGGGCAGCTCGGCGAGGAAGTGGGGAAACGCCTTCTCCCTCGGTGACAGGGACGGGGGCGGACGGGGCACCGTGAAGCCGAGCGGGTTGGGGTGCTTGCACCACTCGTTCTTGAAGAACATCTCACCGGGCTGGTCTTGGAGGTGCTGCCTCTTTTTCCGTGAGGGGAGAGGAGCGTTGGATGAAGGGAGAGACGATGATGATGGATGTAAGGAAGAGATGTTTTACGATGAGGACGGTGAGATGTTAGAACAGGTTGCCCAGAGGAGTTGTGGATGTCCCATCTTCAAGGTCAGGTTGGCCGGGACTTGGAGCAACCGCATCTAGTGGCAGGCGTCCCTGCCCGTGGCCGGAGGTTGGACTGGGTGATCTTTGAAGGTCCCTTCAACCCAAACCCTTCCATGACTCAGGACAGGGCTTTGAGGAACCTCATCTAGCGGCAGGTGTCCCTGCCCGTGGCAGGAGGTTGGACTGGGTGATCTTTGAAGGTCCCTTCAACCCAAACCATTCTATGATGGTCTAACAGTGTGGTTTCTAGGTTGGGAACTGGTGGAGGATGGTCTCCATGGCCAATTATACCTTCAATTACTCCGACTTGGGCGACTATTCCATGTACGATTTCGCTGACTATGAAGTCCCTCACAGCTACCGCGCCGTCCTGGCGCTCTACGCCCTCATCTTCCTCCTGGGCGTCTTGGGCAACGGGGCCGTCATCTGGGTGACCGGCTTTGAGCTGCGGCGCACGGTGAACGGCGTCTGGTTCCTCAACCTCTCTGTGGCCGACCTCCTCTGCTGCCTGGCCCTGCCCTTCCTGGCCCTGCCGCTGGCCCGTGACCACCACTGGCCGTTGGGTCGCTTCGCCTGTAAGCTGGTGCCCTCCCTCACCATCCTCAACATGTTCGCCAGCGTCCTCCTCCTGATGGCCATCAGTGCTGATCGTTGCGCCCTGGTGACGCGGCCGGTGTGGTGCCAAAACCACCGGACCCTGGGGCTGGTCCGGGGGGCTTGCGCGGCCGCCTGGTTCCTGGCCGGGCTCCTCACCCTTCCCTCCTTCATCTTCCGCACCACCCGTTTCGACATCTTCTCCGAGAAGACCACCTGCGTCCTGGACTACACGGTCGTCGGGCATCACCAGCACCTCACCGAGCTCATCACGGCCATCACCCGCTTCATCTGCGGCTTCTTGGTGCCCTTCGTGGTGATCACGGCTTGCTACGGCCTCCTGCTGGCCCGCATCCACAGCAAGGGCTTTGCCCGCTCCCGGAAAGCCACCAAGCTCATCTTGGTGGTCATCATCAGCTTCTTCGTGTGCTGGTTGCCCTACCATGTCGTGGGGTTGATCCTGACCTCCAACCATCCTCACAGCAGCTTGTTCAAGCGTGCCCTGGAAGCTGACCCCATCGTGGCCGGCATCGCCTACATCAACAGCTGCATCAACCCCATCATCTACGTCATCATGGGTCAGGACTTCAAGGACAAGTTCCAGCGTTCCTGGAGAGCCGTGCTGCGGGGCGTGCTGAGCGACGACCCCACCAGCACCATGGGGGACAGCAGGATGAAGACCAAGTCCACCATGGATGACCAGAGCGTCAGCACCATGGTATGACCAGGGCTGGAACGTTGTTTGTCTTGCTTGAGGCCATCACCTTCTCCTCCTCTCCTGGAGGTCCCCCTGGGCCCCGGAGAGCGAAGAAGATGCCTCCATCGCCCCCTTTCCCCACCAGTTGCCCCATGTGGTTGCAGGCTGAGGAAGTTACGTGCCCACCTACCCCTGGGGACCTCCCGCTTTCCTCGGCGGCCTGCCAGCGGTGAGACGACCTTGGCCTTGCACGCGACACCACGTTCTCCTGCTTCTCCAGCCCAAGCGTGGACCCTAGTTCCAGCCTCAGAAGAGCTGTGCTGCCCCACGAACCCCTCCCAGCCCCACATCTCCACCACCCAGCGAGGTCCAAGATGTGGGTGAGCCCACCTGCAAGCTCAACCCCCTTCCGTGTCGTGTGTGTGTCCCCGTCCCCCCAAAATTCACGTCCACCCCATTGATGGGGGGGGGGCTGGCTGCCCTTCACCGTCTCCCCCGGCTTCACCGTAACCGCGTCTGCCGTCGCCAATAAATATTGAAGTTCCTTCAAGCCTTGAGCAAGACCTCGGTTCCTTGGTTCTCCTTTTGGGTTGTTTATTGGGCAAGATTTTTGCTGTCTCGGCAGATTGGAACGCGTGGGTGACGCAATGAGTGCCGCAGCGCGTCCTTCCCGCCGGAAAGTCCTTGCGGTGGGTGGTAAATTCTTGCCTTGTGTCACCTCGCGGGGCTGGGAGAGCGTGGAGGGTGGTGGCCGAGGTTGGTCTGATTTTCACCGTGCTGGTGCTGCCCACTCTGGGGACAGGGATGGTTGGGGACGGTCGGGCGTCAACGGGGAGGGTTGGGGACAGTTGGGCACAAGTGGGACAGTGGGGATGGTTGGGGACGGTTGGGCGTCAACGGGGAGGGTTGGGGATGGTGGGGACAGTTGGGGACCACAGGGATGGTTGGGGATGGGGATGGTTGGGGACAGTTGGGCACAGTGGGGATGTTTGGGGATGGTGGGGACAGTTGGGGATCCATGGGGACGGTTGGGGATGGTTGGGGACAGTTGGGCATCAACGGGGATGGTTGAGGATGGTGGGGACAGTTGGGGACCACAGGGATGGTTGGGGACAGCTGGGCACAAGTGGGATAATGGGGATGGTTGGGGACAGTTGGGGATCCATGGGGACGGTTGGGGACAGCTGGGCACCACCTGGATGGATGGGGACGGTTGGGGACAGGGGGGCACAGTGGGGACAGTTGGGGACACAGTGGGGACAGTTGGGGACAGCGGGGGTTTTG